TATTTAGATTAAGGTTTGGATTATTATTTATTTTTTAATATAAAAACTTGTATAATTATAAAAGGGTAAAATTGGAATTTTAAATGGCTTAAATGTTAGTTACTATATTATGATTTATGTTATGTTAGATAATAAATTATAGATTTAAAGACTAATATACTACCTAATTTCTCTAATAAATATCCATGTCGTTCATTTTGGAATTAAATTTCTGGTAAATGAACATTTACTACTAAAGTGTTGAGTATTGTTGGATCATGTAGGTTTACTTTATAATTAGAAGAGCAAATTAAATAAATTGCTCCATTACATAAATTAGATTGGACCGGTCCAAGAAGCGAATCCTCAAAATTTAGTAGGGTTTTATCTCTTAATAGCATTAATATTGGGGAATCAATACATATTCTTGATAAAGGTTTAATTGCTATTTGAATAATTCCAAAATAAAAATAATTAAATCATTTTTGTTTATATTTATCTAAAGCAAGTGAAGATAATAGTTCAATTTTTTCAAATTCATTTTGAAGAGATAGTGTTTATTCATGCTCTTTTATTGAATAAGCAGTTTTAAAATCAAAAGTTCCGATTTGATATATGCTTTCTGGATTAATATGGGYTAAATGATTTTTTGTTATTTCTTTATTAAATGATGATATTTTTTACATAATTTCTCTTGAATTAATTGTAGTATGCAATGCAAAAGTTCATAGCATGTTTTGGTTTAAAAATTTTCCTAAACGAAGACGCCATAACTTATTCTAAAATTAAACTCATACTAGAAGGATACTAACCGTTTCTACGTCGACACAACTACGGCTTACCAACGGACTTACTGCCTTACTCTAGACTTGCTGCCTGGAACACCTACCATATCAATATTTCTGCAGAAGGGTAAAGATCTATCTAGAAGGGTTTAGTTTATACTAGGCTAATGAAAATCTTATTTTGAAAAAGTTTTAAGAAAATTATGCAACTAATTGCGTCGATTTGTTAAAAATGTTTATAAAAACTTTAGTAAGATCGTTGGCTCTGATACCATTTACTTCTTAATTCTTTTCTTATTTTTATTAAAATACAAAACTTTGTTTAAAATTTTTAAAGATTTAATGTTGTATATGATTAAAACCTTGTGATTTTATTGATTTAAAATAATGATACAGAGATTGTAAAAATAAAATTTTTAAAAAAATTACAAAATTAAAACTAAAGCTTGTCCGAAGGCTTATAGAGATTTTTT